CAAACTCATCGCCCGGGCAACGAAGGAGCGGCTTCGTAAGAAGCATTTCAAGGTCCTGGAGTGGCCTAGCCAGTCTCCAGATCTCAACCCCCTAAAACATCACTGCTCTAGAGGAGATCTGCATGGAGGAATGGGCCAAAATACCAGCAACAGTGTGAAAACCTTGTGAAGACTTACAGAAAACGTTTGACCTCTGTCATTGCCAACAAAGGGTATATAACAAAGTATTGAGAGGAACTTTTGTTATTGACCAAATACTTATTTTCCACCATAATTTGCAAATAAATTCTTTAAAAATCAGACAATGTGATTTTCTTTTTCTCATTCTGTCTCTCATAGTTGAGGTATACCTAGGAAGAAAATTACAGGCCTCTCTCATCTTTTTAAGTGGGAGAACTTGCTCAATTGGTGGCTGACTAAATATTTTTTTGCCCCACTGTATCTAAAAAGGGAAAAGGACAGACACAAAATGACACAAACAAATCTTTGAAAATGTGATTAGATTAGGTCTAAATAGGTTTTGAAAGTCGTGAATTAACTTGTTGAAACCTGTGGTAAGCCATTTGCACGTCACAAATGATTAACCTGGAGATTTTCTTTCGCTCTCTGTTTCAGTTCGAACCATCCATGACAACAAGGTCTCCGGTCAGCTGTCAGGTACTTCATCTAATCATAATGCGAGACTAGGATCAGATGAGGACTACATCCACATGGCCCACAGACTGGGGAATGAGGTAATATAGAATCAAACTACCTGACCTACAATTAGAAGACGCTGACTGATAAACGTGATGCTAAATGTCTCGTGTTCCCACAGGTAAATGACCCCTCCATGAGGGCCTTTCAAGTGAAATCCCCACAGTCTGTGTGTTCCCCTGCTGGGAGTGAAGAGGCTGCAAAAAGTATGATCAATTCTTCTTCTTACAAAAAAAAAAAAAGACAATCTGAGCTAGCTTAACCTTAAATATATTTGTGTTTAACCAGGGTCCAGGCCTCCCCTCATCATGCAGTCTCCTCCCCCCGATGGGCCCCCAGGTGCAGCAGCTGACGTGCTCCTCAGCTCCGGGGACCGCAAAAAGAAGCAGAAGGAAAGGAGTAGAGAAGAAAATGAGCACACGGAAAAAAATCTCTCGTACGACATTGTCAGTTCTCCCTCTAAACAGTCCGCCAAGCTTACTATAAAACTGTCCCGCATGAAGTATTCCGACTTGGATGAACCTGAAGAACATCCTCCGAGGTCACGGGTCGACTCAGACCGTGAAACTGATTTGATGTATAATAACATTAATCAGTTGTCAAGGTCTGCACAGGACTTGTCACACAAGTTAGGCGCTGAGGAGCAGGCCAACTGTCAGCAGATTCCTGTTCGGCCAATCACTAAGGATTCCGGAGGCGTCAGCGGGGTCGTGTTTGATGACGCTGAGATGGACACACTAACGGAGATCGAGAGAATAGACCGTGAGTCGGCCAGCGAGAGAGAAAGGTGGTCTAAAGAAGTTCAGGATAAAGGTAATGTTCGCCCGCCTTTCCCCCGTTCTTTCTGATTCTTCCATGACCTACATCTGTTTGTAGAAGATCTCATTTTCATTTTTTTTTTTTTATCACAGATAAGCCACTGAAGAAACGAAAGCAAGACTCATATCCTCAGGAATCTGGAGCTGAGTCCAATGAAGGGCCCGCTGTACAAGTGTGCAACGCTGACAGCAAGTTGACACCGAAGAAGACGAATGCTGCAAGTAACGGAGCCGGTCGGCCTGCTTTGATGGTCAGTATTGATCTGCAGCAAGCTGGCAGAATGATAAGACAGCCTGTCGTGGTCTTGGAAGCACAGAAGATGTGTGACGACCACGTACTGCACATAAATTCAAAGAATGATGCAATCGCAGATAAAGTTGTTGAAAACGCAGATAAAGTGGTTGAAAACAGACCTGGGATCATCAAACAGCATACTGACACCCCCAGGAAGTCTGGCTCAGAGGGGCAACCTGTAACCCCCAAACAGAAGCAGGAAAGTCGACGTGATTCCAAACACAGACATGACGATAAAAAAACAGTCAGTGGCAAGGGACATGTCGACAAACAGCCAGACAAACAGCCTGACAAACAGCCAGACAAACAGTCAGACAAACAGCCAGACAAACAGCCAGACAAACAGCCAGACAAACTGCCAGACAAACTGCCAGACAAACTGCCAGACAAACAGCCAGAAAAACAGCCAGACACACCGCGGCAGAAACATGACAAGCATTCAGACCCACGCCACAAAGAGGAAAAGAACCACAACAGTCAGCGATCCAACGTCGGCCAACCTGAGACTCCAAAAACCCCGAGCAAGGCCGAGCGTAACTCCAAACATGGAGAAGACAAAGTCAGGGAAAAAGATAGGGATAAAGATAACGAAAAGGAAAAGGAAAAAAATATAGATAAAGAAAAAGAAAAAGAAAAAGATAGAGATAGGGATAAGGTTAGAGAACGAAAAAAAGAAAGAAATAAAGAAAGAGAAAAGGATAAGGTACGAGATAAAGATAGAGATAAGGAAAAAGACAGAGATAAAGAAACTGACAAAGATATAGAAACTGACAAAGATAAAGAAACGGACATAAATAAAGAGAAAGATAAGGAAAGAGATAAAGAGAGAGATAAGGACGGAGTTAAAGACAAAGAGAGAGATAAGGACGGAGTTAAAGACAAAGAGAGAGATAAGGACGGAGTTAAAGACAAAGAGAGAGATAAGGACAGAGTTAAAGACAAAGAGAGGGAAAGGAAGCACAAAATGTCGAGGGAAAACTGCAACCGACCCTCTCCTGACGGGCATACTAAACCTGAGAGCCCGAGAGTGAAGCAGGACGGTAGCAGAAAATCTGCTGACCTCAATGGACGACAGAGGAAAGAGAGTTCCGGCCCTCAAAACTCCCAAAATAAGAAGGAGAGGAAAAGTGGGGAGGGAGTCGTTACTGGCCAAGCTGGAAACAAACAGCAGTCTGTGGAGGCCAAACCCAGCGAATTCCCCGCTTACCTGCTGGGGGGCAAGTCCACTCTGAAGAACTTTGTGATCCCTAAATTGAAACGCGATGTGAAAGAGAAAGACCCCCAACTCCTGAACAAACTGACAGAGAGCGAGCCCCTGGTCCGGCTGGAGAGAGTGTCGTTGGTGGAGAGTTTAAACAAGGGAGCCAAACCCCTCGTGGTGCTCAACAAACTCAGCATCGCTGAAGTCAAAACCATCATCAAGGAAAGCAGGAATTCACACAAATCCAAGACCTCAGGGAAAGGTACGATTTACTTTGAAATATGTACAATGGGCCCAGTTTCCAGATTGCGTATTTCCTTCACACCACTATCATTATTATTATTATTATCACAGTCTTTAATGACTCGGTAACTGATTGTATTTTCTTTTAAAGTACAGATGTGTCTGTGCAGGAAACTAACTCTTCCCTTGTTTTTACAGAAATGACAAACAAGCGGAATCACAGTTTGATCAGTAAGAAATCCAAGTATGCTGAGTCGGATGATGATGAAGAAGATGACAAAGACGAAGATGAAGATTACTCTGAAAATGAGTGTTAGTATTTAAACTAAGAATTTTTTATTTTTGAACACACCACAAAATAAGTCAAAAAGCACTTCTTATACTAAATAAATCGAGAAAAAAAAATATATATAACAAAATAAAAAGCACTTCTTATGCTAGAATATTGTTTACAAATACCCTAGTTTTTAAGATTTAACCCAAAAAAGAAAGCGGATATGTTTTGGTTAGAATTATTGCAGCTATTGAGCAACAATTGGAGCTTGAATTACTTGATATTTTCTGACCTATCTTTCCTGGGTTCTGTGTTTTTCTTGTTACAGCTCCAAAGAAAAGGTCTAAGAAAAGTCACTACAAACCATCTAAGTCTGAAAAGAGGGCGGGCTCTGGAGAGCACCGGCGAAGTAGCGGTTCCCACGCTGCCCGTCGGGGGTCCGGTGGACGCAGCCGGGAACTGAGTGAATCAGATGAAGGCAGCCCGACTCCAAGCCTGAGTGATTGTGAGTTTATTTTCCACAAGCTTAATATAAATAGATACAATTATAAAGAGTTTTTTTGTTAAGTATCTCTAAGAAGACAACATGAATTTACCTTACACAACATACACTTGTGTAGGTCAATGCAAATCGTGATTGCCGTGTCTGGCGGTTGTCGTTCAGATTATTTCCATCTGAAATCAATGATCCATCTGGATAGTCAGATTACTGCACCAAGTCTTCCTCTAATAAATATTCAGAGCTCGAGGGTGAGCTGCTGCTGTCAAGGATTTGACAAATGTTGTTTTCCTTTTGTTCAGCTGCCAGAAAATTGAAGAAGAAGGAGAAACAGAAAAACAAGAAGGCGTATGATTCCAAGCTGACAACAGAGGGTATACTTTTACCACTTTGATTACTTTTATACTAATGGTGCATTTTAAAGCTAAATATGTTTTTTTAATCAATTTGTTTACATTTCTTTTAACAGAAAAGATGGACTCCTCCTCATATAAGAGATTCCTGGCCAATGTGGAGAGCATTCTTGAGAGCCTCGAGGATGTGGACCTCGCTGCTACAGGTGAACATTTACTGCCGCAATATTTTTATGACATTTGATGAATTAAGACATTTTTTTGACTATTATAACTTTGTTCCCCTCTAACAGATGATGATGATGGCATACCTGAAGAGCTGTTGCTCGGAAAGCACCAGTTGAGTGAGCTCTGCAATGATTCCACTAAGCTCAAAGCTATGCGCATCTTTCACAAGGTAAGAGGAGTGTGTTTGTGACACCGGTTGATATTTAGCTATGGTAAGTTTGATTGAAAGTAATCATTTGTTTGCTCCTTAGTTTCCGTCTGATAAACTGGTGAAATTTCTGAATATCCTGGAGAAGAACATTCAGGATAGCGTCAAACTTACCACGTTAATGAACCATGTAAGTTTACAGGCACCTATCATTTTTTTGTTGCTTGCTTGATTTAACTTTTGAGCTTATCAATAAGATTTATTTTTGTATCTGTAGGATAATGATTCATTGGACGAGGAGCGGTTGTGGCGTGACCTCATCATGGAGCGGGTGGCTAAGTCTGCTGATGCCTGTCTGACTGCTCTCAACATCATGACATCTCCACGCATGCCCAAGGTTGTTTACATAGAGGACGTGATTGAGAGGGTGCTGCAGTACTCCAAGTACCATCTGCAAAATTCTCTGTACCCTCAGTATGACCCCGCCTACAGAATGGACCCCCATGGAGGTCAGCACACTTTTCTTTTTAGTTCTACAAAATCTCTGAGTGTTTTTGTGCGTGTGTTCATATAAGCTCCAATACAACTATTTTTTCAACTCCGATTTTTCTTTGTCTTCCTCACCTAAGGTGCTGTGCACACTCCAAAGTCCAAAAGAGGAAAGGGTTCCAGCCACAAACAGAAGGTGGTGGTCATGCTCTACAACAAAGTGTGTGATATTGTCAGCAACATGTCAGAGCTGCTGGAGATCCAGCTGCTCACTGACACCACCATTCTCCAGGTGAGACTCTTTATCTGTCTGTCATCATTTCAGTTCATGACCCTGTTAAACCTTTGAGTTCTAACACACCTGATTCTCTTGTTTCCCACTTTTAGGTGTCGACTCTGGGTATAACACCTTTCTTTGTGGAGAATGTCAGTGATCTGCAGTTATGCGCCATCACACTAGTGACAGCAGTAAGTCTCCATGGCATCCATTTTCGTTTTATTTCAGCAGTCAGTTTTGTGTTTTATGACACCCACACAGTGTCTTCATTTTTATTTTTTGATTCATTGCTTTGCTTTTCTCTTCCTCAGGTGTTCACCCGCTACGAGAAGCACAGGCAGCTAATTCTTGAGGAGATATTCACCTCCCTGGCTAGACTGCCAACGAATAAACGCAGCCTCAGGAGCTTTAGGTTACTATATATTTAGTGAATTATATCATTACAAATAATGAATCTGTAAACCTAACGGCAGTTGTTTCTCGCCCAGGCTAAACAGTGATTCAGGAGGAGGAGTGTATATCCAGATGGTCACTGCACTGGTTCTTCAGCTCATCCAGTGTGTGGTTCACTTTCCAGAGAAGGACGGAGATGATGATCATAATAAGAAGGTAACCACCGCGGATTTAGAAAATACTAAAACCATATTTTTCAGAAATTATGCTTTTATTCAGAAATGATTTAACATATTGGATGCTTTTTTCTAGGTGGATAAAGATGTCTTCATCACAAACTCTTTTGAAACTGCCATGCGGACAGCTCAGAACTTCCTATCAGTTTTTCTCAAGAAGTAAGTCACTGTAGAACTTTAACATCGTTTTCACATTCTGTAAATACACTTTTGTTCAGAAACATATACAAATACAGATATGTGTCGCTAAGATAGCTGAGAAATGGGTGTCAAAACTAATCACCAAACATTTAGGCAAAGGTTTCGCTCCACTCCACCCAATGCAGTTTGGTTTTCGTACTGACCACTCCACTGAGACAGCTAACTTTGTCTTTGTGGTAAAGGTTAAATGTATTTTGGACACGAGCCCATATGTAGGTGCTGTCTTCCTTGATCTCAGGAAGGCTTTTGACACAGTTGACCACCAAGTGCTCCTTACAAAGCTGACTCATTTCAGTTTTTCGGCAGTTTCTATACATTGGTTTAAGTCTTACTTATCGAACAGAAAACAGTGTGTTTTGGTCAACTGAGCCAAATGACCCTACCTTGTGAACCCTGTTGGGGTTCCACAAGGTTCCATTCTTGGACCATTACTGTTTTCTCTGTACATTAATGACTGGCCTAATGTATGTCCCAAGTTGAATGTGCAAATGTATGCCGATGATGCGGTCATCTTTGTACATGGCAAAAACACTGAAATGACCTCATCTTGTCTCTCTAATGCTTTGGACAAGGTTCAACATTTGGCTGAACAACATTTGCTTACAGTTAAATGTAAAAAAAAAAATATGCATGATGTTCGAAGGATCCAATGTGTTTTTAAACGGATCAGAAATAGAACTAGTCTCCCAGTTCAAGTATCTTGGAGTCATACTGGACTCAAACTTGACTTTTAAGAAACATATTAAGAAAGCCAACACAATTAAATTCATCTTGCAAAATGTTAAACAAATTAGACCTTTCTTAACTGTCTTTCTGACGCTGCACTAGGTCAGAAACCAGAGGAGACTGTGAAGTCCACCGTAGACGGACCACTTTCGGTCAAAGATGTTCTATCAATTAAGGGCAGCTCATTGTGGAATAGCCTCCCAACTGAGATACGGGATTGTCCCACTCTTCAAAGGTCAACTAAAAGAATGGTTGAGAAACAAACAGACGTGTAATCACTGCTAAATGCACTTTAATACAGGGGTATCTCATCTTGCACTTTATGTAGCTCTTTTATCTTCTCTTGCACTTCATATATCGTAGCTGCTACATTGTACTGCCATATGGTTAATGCTTCTGATGCTGCTCATGCTCTTTCTGCATATCATGTATTTATTTTTGCTATGTACATAAATGTCATGTTCTTAAATGTTCTATGTGAGGGACTACGGATGGAAATTAGCTAAAAGCTAAAATCCGGCATATTTACATTTTGAAGCATTAATTGTTAAAAATGTTCATCAATGTCCATCGTCCCTCTTCAAATAAACGATTAAATGAAAATTAAATGAGATATATTGTATTGTGTGTGTGTTTCAGGTGTGGCAGTAAGCAGGGAGAGGAGGACTACAGGCCTTTGTTTGAGAACTTTGTTCATGACCTGCTGTCTGCAGTCAACAGGCCTGAGTGGCCTGTAGCTGAACTGCTGCTCAGCTTACTGGGCCGGCTGCTGGTGAGTAACATCAATCACTTTAAGGAATCACCTCCCATCATCTGCTCGGTAGAAACAGCTGCCGATTCCCTTTTTGACATTTCCCCTCCACTTCTTGTGCTCCAGGTGCACCAGTTCAGCAACAAGCAGACAGAAATGGCGCTCAGGGTGGCGTCGCTCGACTACCTCGGCACCGTGGCATCTCGTCTGCGTAAAGATGCTGTCAATAGCAACATGGACCAAAAGGCTATTGACCGCATCCTCAAAGAGGTAGACTAGATGATTACACAATTACTTTCATGGAGCTACATTAATAGTGGTGTTGAACTGCTTCTGAGCTGCTTCTGGTTTATTGATTTCCTTACAGACTCAAGGCAGTGATGAGATCCAGCAACTCCAGAAGGCCTTGCTGTACTACCTTAATGAAAACATTGAGACAGAACCCTCTCTAGTGGTAAGTGTTTAATATTCACCCACTAAACTGTGAATATACAGAAATCACTATGGGCACATTTAGGATTTTATTATGAATGGATACTAGGCAGTGGTTAAACACATGGACTGTTTATATAGTTAGACAGGGTTCCTTGATGTCAGATTACTTTATAGTCTTCTTAATTACTTATGTATTCATTTGTTTCATATAGTTTGCTAGGAAGTTTTATATTGCCCAGTGGTTCAGGGACGCTACGACTGAGGCCGAGAAAGCGATAAAGTCTCAAAATGACGATGAGGAAGTGAAAGGCCTTCATCATTCCATGGAAGTTGACTCAATTGAGGAGATAATGCAGAAATCCGAGTCACGAAAGAAATTCCTCCGCAAAGTCATCAGGACATCACCGTCAGATTTCAACTCTCTGAGGTAAATACTACTGTACTCTGCCTCAATGCCCTGATTTGGTACGCTGTTTGACCTTATCTCCAATCCTTTGTTTTGACTCTTGATTGTTCTTTCAGGGTAAACTCTGACACGGTAGAGTATGAGGACTCATGTCTGATTGTCAGATATCTGGCCTCCATGAGGCCGTTTGCACAGAGCTTTGATATTTATTTATCACAGGTGAGAGGATTCATTGCAAATAAACATCAGTGAGAGACTTTGTTGTGTTGGTAGTCTCTAACTTTTTTAAATCTTTTGTAATAGATTCTGAGGGTGCTTGGTGAGAGTGCCATCGCAGTCAGAACTAAAGCCATGAAGTGTTTGTCTGAAGTAGTAGCTGTGGATCCAAGTATTCTGGCACGGGTAAGTCAACCTGTATTGTTGCTACATGATGCTCATATTAATGGAATGATAGGACCCAGATGCGGGTGTTGCACTTTTTCTTTGTACATGTGATGTGGGTGGCTGTGTGGATAGTGTGCTGGACTTCGAATCAGGGTATAGCAAGTTCGAGTCCCACTGCAGTCAGCATGTCGTTGTGTCCCTGGGCAAGACACTTCACCCCAAATTGCTCCTGTGGGGATTGTCCACAGTACTGAATGTATGTAAGTCGCTTTGGATGAAAGCGTCTAACAAATGACATGTAATGTAATGTTTCGGTGTTGTTGTTTTTTGTTTTGTTTCTTTCCGTTAACTGTCAAGTGAGAACTAAGTTTTTTTGTAGTAAGTTTTCGTGTTTCTCTTATTATCCTATGATACTGTGTGAATAAGAAAATATGAAGGACAGACCATCTATTTCCATTTTTTAATTTAATTTTTTAGAATGGGGCAGGTAACACAAGATTATTTTCTTCTCCCTGCTCTTTTTTGGCCAATGGTGTGTTAATAGAGACATGTTTTGTAAACAATTATTAGACATTAAGTTATGCATACCATGAATGGAACAAATTCAATTAAATAGAGGTATCGCTAAATGTTTTTTTATTTGACGGATAAAAACCTTTTTTTACTGTGAATCTAACAAATTCAACAGGAGATTCTGTTAAAGCCTGATTGTAATGTTGCTACATTCTAACCAGCAGTCATAACGCTCAGTGATTTGGTTTCTTTGCTTGACTTCTCTTTATGTTTTTGTTTTGCAGTTGGACATGCAGCGTGGGGTTCATTGTCGCCTCATGGATAACTCTACCAGTGTGCGAGAAGCGGCCGTGGAGCTGCTTGGCCGTTTTGTGCTTAGTCGACCGGAGCTCATTGAGCAGTACTACGACATGCTCATTGAAAGGATATTGGTAATTTTTTTAGCTTCTCTCTTTACATTTTGAACAGCTCAATGAGAGCTTCTGTATTATGCACAAATGAATCAACTCCTTCCCAGTTTAAAATGATCGGGTCACATCGTTGCCCTCTTAAAACCTCTTAAGCCCCACGGACCCGGTTCCGGGGCCGAAATCGCGTAATTTGCAGGAAACAACGTCTAAGGAACCTTAATATTTAATAAACTATGAATATTTTATATCCATATAACGGGGAAAAACTCATTTAACTGATCTTTTTCATTTAAAAAAAACAAACAAACAATGCTAACAGTGAGCCTCTGAATTAGCCCTGAGCGAAAAATGCTAACCTATTACTGCACCGAAAATCACTCCTAGCTCCCTTATTACTTATCCTAGCTGCACATCCAACACATCGTTTAAGATTGTAAAGACACAGAATCCAACGGTGCCCACCTCAACACTGAAAGATACAAACTCGTGACGTTATCAACAAAAACGTACATCAAAACATGTGGCGCTAGGTAGCCTACAACGCTAACATGGCTTACCTTAGTTTTGTTTGGTCAAAACTGGTCTTCAATGGCATTAAAACGATAACAACGATGCTGTAGTTAATCCATAAGTTAATATCCAATGTGTCTGTGTCCCCTGTGAAATGTTCTGATAATATATAAGCAATAAAACTGCAATTCCGTTTTAAAATATCAGAGCAGGCCACTCCTACGCTCTATAGCAAGATTGAATCATGGATGTATAATAAGAACTGGATACAGCGTGGGAGGCGGGCCTCATTCATTCCTATCAGAGTTGCTCATTGGNTAACAGTTCTTAGGATTTAGCAGCCAGCTATATTACACAGTTATTAACGGCATCTATATATATTGCACATCTAGCACATATTGCACATAGGTGGTTGGTATTTAACAGCAGCAAGTTACACAATTTTCAAAATGCACACCTTGTAACAGTTCTAAGGATTTAGCAGCCAGGCAGGTATATATATTACACAGTTATTAACGGCATTTATATATTGCATATATTGCACATAGTTTGTTGGTATTTAGCAGCAAGGGGTGATTTGTGTTGTGTTGTGTGTGTGTGTGTGTGTGTGTGTGTGTGTGTGTGTGTGTGTGTGTGTGTGTGTGTGTGTGTGTGTGTGTGTGTGTGGTCAACTAGGGGCTGTGCTGGTTGTACACACATTTGCTGTAATGTGTGAGAAATCAATTGCTTACAATCAGTTGCCATATATAATGGGGCACACTTGTGTAATAAAAACATCCCATCACTCAAATACTAAATGCTTTATACTCGAATGCTAATACTAATGCTGTACATTGTTTAATTAAGCTTTATATTGTAGGATACAATATACAGTGTTGAAGTCATTAAAGAACCCACGCTTTTGAGCTGAGAGGAGGAGTCTAAAGCAATTACTTGTTCTTCCAAAGTTATTTCCCAGCTCAGCTTTGGACTGAGCAGCTGTCTCTGCATTTATATTCCAGACTCAGAACGACTTCATGGTGATCTGTAACGTGGCAAAGATCCTGGAGCTGGCCGTGCCTCTGATGGAGGAACCAAGTGAGACTTTCCTCACCACCATAGAAGAAGACTTGATGAAGCTCATTATCAAATATGGCATGACGGTCAGTGTGATTTACAGCTTTCACAAATATATCCCAGGAAAACATAACAAATTGAGATGTGATACTGCTCCGAGCGCACTGATTTTAATTTGATTCCATTTGTTGTGTTTGTTTCTCAGGTCGTACAACACTGTGTCAGCTGTCTTGGTGCTGTTGTGAACAAGGTCACACACAACTACAAGTTCGTCTGGGCGTGTTTCAATCGCTACTATGGTAAGGCTTCTGTAAACATCAATTATAACATAAACAACACACATTTTCTCATACCAGAATCAGCATTCAGCTTGAGATGGGAAAGGCTGGAAAGAAATGTTAGAATACACAAAAACATAGCAAAATATACATACGGATTATTATTGTTAACATGATCATTCACTTTCTAATTTACAGGGTTACATTATGCTCTTATCACCTCATTATACTCACTTTCTCATTTCACATGGATATAAATAAGAGCATTAAACACACCAAAAGTGATTTCTATAAACCAGAGAAACAGAAGTTGGTTTCAATGCCGATTTGTATCTTTCTATAGGAGCTCTTGCAAAACTGAAGACCCAGCACCAAGAGGACCCCACCAGCGTCACCCTGGCTACCAACAAACCTACTCTCCTGCGCTCACTCTTCACTGTGGGGGCTCTCTGCCGACACTTTGATTATGATCAAGAGGAGTTCAAGGGCACTAGCAAGGTAAACAGCAGCACTCAAACTATTTCAATAATGTGCCTTCTGACTTCTGTTGACTCATAAATGACTGCTTTCACTCAGATCGTCATCAAGGAGAAAGTGTTGGAGCTTCTGTTGTACTTCACCACTCATGAAGATGAAGAGGTCCAGATCAAGGCCATCATAGGTCTCGGTAAGTTGCTCCTCATCTCATACTAACATAGATCACTGTCATGTCTTGTTTTTATTTGCATATGTCTTTGGGTTCCCTCTATATTTATTTAAATGATTTCCATTCTCTCCAGGCTTCCAGTTCATCATGCATCCAGAGCTCATGTTTGTTCAGGATGTGAAGGTCCTGTATAACAACACCCTGTCAGAGGATAACCCTTCGGTCAGTCGGAGGATCCAGGTGCTGAAAAACCTGCAGATATACCTGCAAGAGGAGGACTCTCGAATGCAGGTGGCCGATCGTGAATGTGAGTTTAATTAAATATTCCCATTTTGGCCTTATTGTGAAGACAGACAAAATCCCTACTAATCTGTTTGCATGGCTAATCAAAATGAATGTTCCTATTTAAATGCCCTGCTTGTATGTTCTATGTCAGCATGTCAAACACGGAGCACCTTTGAAGACTAACCAAGCCAGTGGTCACGTTAACGGAATATTTTCCTTCTATGATGATTTATTTTTAACAATGATGGAAACATTTGCCGTACAAATCATTGCAATGTCTGTGAGTTTTCGCTGTGCACGCTCCCGTGAGGTGCATGCATATATTTCGGTGGGCATGCATAACACGGCATAACACCGACGCTAACAGTTCTCTGCACCCCGCCCCCCCAAAATGACGGACAGTGAAAATGTCTAGCGCCACCACTGAACCATGCTGATGCTTTTTTTTTTATTCAGGGAAGAATCAGGAAAAGCAGGAGGATCTGAAGGAAATGGGAGACATCTCATCAGGTATGAGCAGCTCCATAATGCAGATCTACCTGAAGCAGGTGCTGGAGTCCTTCTTCCACTCTCAGTCCACTGTTCGCCACTTCGCCCTGAGCGTCATCCTTCTGACTCTCAGCCAGGGCCTCATCCATCCTGTGCAGGTATGCTCACAGTCTCACTCCAGCACTCTCACACAAGACTGAGATTAAGATCTTACAAGCAAGAACTGGTTTTTTGTCTCGTAGTCATAACTAGGTTGATGATTACCGGTAGTCAAATTTTAACCTAATTTTCTAATCGCAAAAGATTGTTGTTCTGCAGTGCCTTTTTGTTATTTTTTATGATTTTTTTGCTGATGGTGATTTAAATATGATCTGTTTGCAAGGCTTGAAGTTACAATTTACAATATTCTACTGTGTTGGAAGTTTTTTTTACAATTGAAATGGTCACATGAGCGAGTGTATTTGACTGTTTTCCATGTTGTTCCACCCCAATGACAACATTCTCTTCCCGTCTGATGAGCTGATCACTGATTTGAAATCTTTTTTTTTTTTAGTGTGTGCCATACTTGATTGCCATGGGAACCGACCCGGAGCCAACTATGAAGAACAAGGCCGATCAACAGCTGGTGGACATTGACAAGAAATATATAGGCTTCATCCACGTGAGTGCTCGTTTATTAACGGCAAACTAGATAAGTTACATTTTTGCATTTCTGTAAACGTACACATCTCATAATGTGATATGATAGGCATCGGAAGGATTTGGATCATTATCTATTATCTACATCCATGCCGAGTTGTATTTCTTTGTGAATCCACAGATGAAGGCCGTAGCAGGGTTGAAGATGTCTTATCAGGTGCAACAGGCCATAAACGGAGCCAAAGGCCCACTGCTTCGAGGTTTTCGTCCGGATGACACAGACACTGCCCTCTGCGCTCATCTCTACTCTATGGTGCGAGGGAACCGACAGCACAGACGGGCTTTCCTCATTTCTCTGCTCAACCTGTTTGATGACAGCTCAGTAAGTCGCCTTCAGTGCATCTCCAACCAGGCAGTGTCCAAGCTTTACTGCTGGCCATTAATAGTTCATTTAGGTCAGGGGTGTCAAACTCAATTTCATCTCGTGCCACATTAGCATCATGGTTGCACTCAAAGAGCCAGTTTTATATACAAGAATATAAAAAATACATATATAAAAATGTAATATATATCAAATAATGTATTATATTACATTATTGCCTCTGCATTGGATTATTATCGGATAGGGTGATAACTTAATAAGTCTCTTCAGTGAGAATGTCACAAAATGATTTAAAAAGAAAAGCCAAATTCTGGAAAAAAAGTCAAAATCAAAAAAAAGAAATGACATTTTGAAAAAAAAGCCAGATTCTGAGAAAAATACAAATTCTGAGTGCTTTTGTAAATCGGCATGTAACCTTATAATAAACATATTATATTCTTTTTAAGCTCTTGTGGGCCACATCACATGAAGTCACGGGCCGGATTTGGCCTCCGGGCCTTGACTTTGACACCGCTGATTTAGGTAGTGATTTTCTATATTTTGTCTCCTTCAGAAAACAGAGGTGAACATGCTGTTGTTCGTAGCAGACAACTTAGCCTGCTTCCCCTACCAGACCCAGGAGGAGCCTCTGTTCATCATGCACCATGTAGACATCACGCTGTCAGTCTCTGGCAGCAACCTGCTCCAGTCCTTCAAGGAGGTGCAAAGCTTGGTTTTACTTTGGATGGGAAATATTGCTCTTTTTTGTGAGATGAAAATAAAAGCTCAGGTAATACATCTTCTGAATGATTGGTATGTGTTTGGTTCTCTGTGCAGTCTTTACGGAAAGAGCCTGTCAATCAGGAAGAGGAGATCAAGGCAAAAAAGAAGAAGAAGAAGAAGAAAAAGAAGAAGAAGAAGCATCATAAGAGACAGCTGGGCTCGGATGAGGACGATGAAGAGGAGGACGAGGAGCAGAGCAGTAGTTCCTCCAGCAGCAGCAGTGAGGAGGAAGAGGAGGTGGTGCACAGGACGAAGAAACCTGTGGATCATGATTCTGACTTTGAAGATGAGGACGCAGTGATGTCCCGCCTGCCCGAAAACTCCAACCCTCTTCTGGAGTTTTCCAGCTCCTCCCAGGGCATCCTGCTGCTGCTGATGCTCAAACAACACCTGAAGAATCTGTTCGGTTTAACAGACAGGTGGGCCACGTCAGAAATGGACGGTTTAATCAATCCATATTTAACAAAGTAATGCAATTGATAACATGACTAAACATGTTTTTTGTTTGCGTTTCAGCAAAATCCAGAAGTATTCCCCGACAGAGTCTGCCAAAGTGTACGACAAGGCAGTGAACAGGAAGTCTAAGGTGCACTTTAACCCCGGTCAGACACTGCTCTACCTGAAGAGTGATCTGGCCAACACGGAGCTCAGCCACGAGACCAAGAGGAATATTGTTAAACAGTATTTGGATGTAAGCATTCAGCACGATGTTCAAAATGAATGTGTATTCATGTTTCAGTCTCAGGAGTATGACTAATATCATATCTGCTTTTATCTCTTAGTTCAAGGTACTGATGGAGCACTTGGATCGTGACGAAGAGGACCAAGAGGGTGAAGCGAATGCAAACGCCAGAAACAAAGCCATTACTTCACTGCTGAAGGGCCCAAAACCAGTGAACCACAACCACAATAACCACACTGCTCCAGTGGAGTCCGAGGAGGAGGAGAGTGAAGCTGAAGAGCCCCCTGCGGTAGGAATTTTAAAACATTTTAAAATAAAGAACCCGCATAGGATTTCTATGTTCCTGTAATAAGACTGCATCAACGTGGGCAATAGTGAGGTGGACATCAAATTGAAGTTAAAAACCAAAAGGGTTGAAGAAGGTTAATAAGAAATAAAAGAGAAAATGTTTTATCATGATCAAATACAGGATATATTCTGTCGACCCATACAGATTGTCAATTTGACATGATATGACTGTAATGTCCATGACCTACACCAACATCATAACATTCTTTGGATTATCTTCATTGTTGTAAACAGAAACTCAACTTTGATGGCCGTTTTACTGCAGCTTCACACATTATCCCAACAATTCTGTGAGATTTTTATGTGGTGCCTCCTGTGTAATAAAGTTGTTTTCATGTGGAACACCCTCTGCTTCTTCTATCAACAGCGCAAACCGAAGAAAGCCGTAGAGACCCCAGAAGACACAGGCAACCTGCAGGAGAGAGTAAAGGCCATGGACATCATTGCCCTCTGCTGTCCCAAATTCAAAGACAGACCACAGATCGCCAGGGTCATCCAGAGGATCAAAACTGGCTACAGCATACACTGGATGACTGGTTCTTACTCTGGGTCCTGGGCGGAGGTAAAGAAACGGGAAGGTCGCAAAAAGGTGCCTTGGGTTGACACCATCAAAGAATCAGACATCATTTACAAGAAAATATCCTTCGCAAGTGGACAAAAGCTGTCGAACAAAGTGGCACAGACGTTACGGGATCTATACGCTGCCAAGGACGGGGACTAAGAGTCACATGGAACCTCCTCCCACACCCCAAACCTGTGCGGACCCAGTACGTTACTAAGAGGAAATCAAACCTCTTTAGATGTAAGGACCAGAAGGAGGAAAAGTATTGTGAACTATGATCTGTTTAAATACAGACATGTTTAAGTTAAACACAAGAAAAACATAAGAAGGAAATGTTTGGGAAAACATTGTGTGGGAGTTCCTTCGCTGTTGTGCAGCAACTTCGTTGTTTGATTTTTACTCCCACTGTATAATAGTTTAACTAAACACATGTTTATATCTGAACATAATTCTGTAAAAAAGTAAACTGAATGTTGGAAATTAGTGTTATGATGATGTTCTTAATAAATTGTTTTTGGAGTTTAAACTAGCACCAGATGAATTTATTCACCTGACCTGAGCTCCAAGAACTTTTAGCTTTCTTTTCTGTTCTTGTTTCGAACACTTTGTTGTTTACCTACACTGTGTAATGGAGTATCTTTGATATGTTTTATTTATGTTAAGAGCAGTGCAGTATCTGTGCCTATATGCAGGGGAAGTTATATTGTTTTTAATATAGATTTTGATGTTATAGAACACAGCAAGAAAAAAGTTATCCCCCGCTCTTCTGGTGAAACAAATACTGCAATAAATTTTTCTTACGTCTTTGTTACTTGTTTGCGTTTTTTTCTCACCTAAGAATATTTATTGTGTCATTTTCAAAAACGAAATGCTTCGTTTTTTCTGTCTCACCTGTCTGATTGAGATTTAGAATAGTGAAGTAAGACTTGGAGGGTTTTTTACAGATCAAATTGGATGGCAAACAGCTCTATCCGTGCCTCTAAGAAATCATAACAGAGCATCCTAAATGGTTATTTAATTCTCTAATCATTAAGCAATGTTTGCCATAACAGCTCATCTTGCTTTGATTAAGACTGAAAGGTCATTTTATAAAAATCAGTTTGATGTTACTCCACACTAGTGGTTGATGTACTGTGCACAATTACTTTTTCTCTTTAGGATTATTTGCATTCTGGTAAAAAATGTTTGATCAAGCAGATGATTTAATTTTAAAGAATGCCCCTTTTCTACTTATTTTTCCACTCTTTATGCTTTAATTTATGATTGCTATGAAGCCACTTGCTTTTTGGAGGACAGAGAAACACAGGAAGTTCTTCATAGTATCAAAACGATGGAAACCTCCTAAAATGTACATTTACTGTAACATTTCAAAGTGCTACAAAGTGATTATAAATCATGTCAAGGGAATCAGATTTTCTTTATTTTGATGCTGAAATAAAAAAAAACACTTGCAATATTTGTTATGAATAGAAAACAAACACATTCTACAAAATAAAAATGAAAAAGCAATTGGGTGTTTAATACCTCTTCTTTGAATACTAAGGCAACAGGTTGAGTTGAATTAAATTATTCACATGTCATTTTTACAGGATTATTTACATGCTTTGTGCTGTGTATTACAGATAACATAACATTGACCGCTGGGTGGCAGCATAACGTTTTACTTGTCCCAGTCTACGAAAATTAGGGAGACGAAGAAGAATTTGGTCCACCGGAAAAAAACCTTTCACCTCTGCCGCTGTGTGTGCATGAGGTTGGCGGGCTGCTAGTTGTATGTATTTGTTTAAATTCTGCTGCTCCATTGGCGAACACAACTTATCTGCCAAATAACCCATTACTACGCGGAATATTTTCAGTCGGGTAAAGCAACGAGTTCACTTTAAAACACTTAATTTACACTTAGCTAGCATTTAGCTTGCAAGCTAAATAATAAGACGTTACTGCTAGCAGTGGGCTAACTAACCGGTGGTCTTCCATCAGCATGCTAACATCAGCTAGCACCAGACAGAACGTTTGATTTGTAGTGAAGTTGGCAGGATATCTCTTTATTATTTACATTTAAAACCTGGCCACCTTTGCTGACACTATCGTTTACTCTCATTGCACGGTTCTGTAGGTAAGTTAGCGGAGGTAGCTCAGCCATGCCGTCCGGCGCTGGACCCAGCAGCCCCGCAGCTGCAATCGCTGAAGCGCTGGAAAACTCTTCCCGGCTGATCGACAAACATCTGCAGGAGGACCGATGCTTCCCTGACCTGTCGGAGCTGCTCAGCGTCCCATGTCACAGTGAGTCCTTTGGAGGGATGGATCACAGAGACCTTGGTGTAGCTATCAAACTTATGTGGTTCTGTTGACACTTGGGCTGCCATGCCACAGTACACATGTTGGTTTGATCAAAAGGGTGTTGGTGCTTATAAGGATTGTTTTAGGCAGATAAATGTTCGAGGAATGATCCTGTGTAGTTGAATATGATGACGAATAAATAAATATCATGTTATTGTAATCCTTCAAAAGAGAAAGCAGTCATTCTGAGACAAAACATTGATCATCCTTAGAGAAGACCTTTTGCAACTCTTTCCACATGAACTACCAACAAGACACTGATATATGACATTAGTTTTTCATTCCACTGTATATATAAGAAGAGAGACCACACCCTAACTAGATTTATTTACAGAAATAATGTGTTTACTGTTTGAACCTGTTTCTGTCAGAATCTGTTAAGCTCTTGAACATACAAGTTTTCTGGCACCCATGGCAAAAAAATGGAACCATCAACTGGTTGAATACGCCAACATACTTTCTGCTGACTTTCTAACGCTATGATTGATTATGTTTGTATATAACTCATATATATTATGATAGGGATCCAATGTCTGGGACAGTGCTTGATCTGCTGGTATTGCATGTGTTTATAGATATGCCGTCCCTCTCTGGAGTGTCGGACATGGACTACCCCTTGCAGGGACCGGGTTTACTCAGTGTGCCAAACCTCCCGGAGCTCAGTGCAGTCCGCCGGGTCCCTCTGCCGCCAGAGCTGGTGGAGCAGTTCAGCCGTATCCTTTTTTATCATTCAGGAAATACAATCATTTCAAATTCACTGGACCAGGAGGTTCCTATCAAGCATATAGCACACCGTTTAGTTGATCCCTTTTTAGTTTTGCGTTGTATTTGAGTTTCAACTTAACAATTTCACAGATATGCAATGTAACTGCATGATGGGAGTTTTCCCAGAGATCTCTCGAGCATGGCTTACTATTGACAATGACATCTTTATGTGGAATTATGAAGATGGGTGAGTACATTTACTTTATGAGGAACGCAGTGATGATCATGAGCAGTAAGGCAAGGCAAGTTTATTTATAGCACCTTTCAACACAAGGCAATTCAAGGTGCTTTACAAAAATGAAACAAAGGCATTTAAAAACAGTCATTAATAAGAAAAGATAATAAAATAAACATTAAAAGAAAAAATACATGAATAAACAGTTACAGTGCAGTTTAAGATGTGAATAGTTCACACAGAAGTTCCATTTTACTGATGCCTTTTTTTAAGGAACATGAGCTGTGTACGCTTGTATGGCACATACGTCCCAAGCAGCATACACAGAGAAAACCAGCAAGGACAAAGTCCCCAGACACTGATTCCCTGGGGTTACTAGCCCCAAATGTTCATTAACCAAAAACGAAACACAACCGCTCAGTTTCAATTAAAAGCAGCGGGAAAAAGAAAAGTCTTCAGCCTGGATTTAAAAGTAGTCAGAGTTGCAGCGGACCTGCAGGTTTCTGGGAGTTTGTTCCAGATATTTGGAGCATAATAACAGAACGCTGCTTTACCATGTTTAGTTCTGACTCTGGGGACAGAAAGCTGACCAGTCCCTGAAGACCTGAGAGATCTGGATAGTTCATAATTTAGCAGGAGGTCAGAAATGTATTTTGGGCCTAAACCATTCAAAGCTTTATAAACCAGCAGCAGTATTTTGAAATCTATTCTTTGACAGACAGGAAGCCAGTGTAAAGACTTCAGAACAGGAGTGATGTGATCCACTTTCTTAGTGTTAGTGAGGACTCGAGCAGCAGCGTTCTGAATCAGCTGCAGCTTTCTAATAGATTTTTTAGTGAGACCTGCAAAGACACCATTACGGTAGTCCAGTCTACTGAAGATAAAAGCATGGACAAGTTTTTCCAAATCCTGCTGTGACATTACATAAAACCAGCTGAAGTTCACACGCAGTGCTTTTAAATTAATTGCTTTTTTCCACTTTATTCTTTGTAGAGGAGATGTGGCCTATTTTGATGGCCTTATTGAAACAATTCTGGCAGTGGGCCTTGTAAAACCAAAACAAGGTATGTGTCAACTCAGCATTCATTATTAATTTGTATTGAAGCACTTTAATTTGAGTAATGTTTATGTGTTGTGTTTTCCTTCTCAGGGATTTTACAGCCACATATCCACTACCTCTTAGTACTGGCCACCTCAGTGGATGTAGTGATCCTCGGGCTGAGCTTCCCCAAGAGCCAGGCTGGTGAGTCCTCCTTTGAATGTTGTGTTTCCAGCTTGCTGTGAATAGTGTTTGGTTTCCTTACTCCAATGTGACAGTTAATTGTGGGCCTGGAGTAACACTGGTCCACATATTTGACTGTTTCTGACCTTTTTCTTTGTTTTGTCGTAGGGTTGAATGACAGCATGTCTGGTGCGATGCAGCTCCTTCCAGACCCCCTCTTCTCAATCCCCACAGACAACACCTACATCATTTCCATCACCTCCACAGACCTGGGACGCATCTTTATGGCAGGAAAGGATGGCTGCCTTTATGAGATCGCTTACCAGGCCGAGGCGGGATGGCTGAGCCAGCGCTGCAGAAAAATCAACCACTCCAAAAGCTCTCTGTCCTTCCTCGTGCCCTCTGTGCTCCAGTTCTCCTTCTCTGAAGACGGTGAGGAGAAGGACACAAATCCATGTGGAAGAAACGTCCTTGATTTCATTCAAATTAAATGTAACCTTTTGATGTCCTTGTCCTCCGCAGACCCCATCGTGCAGATTGCGATTGACAACTCCCGCAACACACTTTTCACACGCTCAGAGAAAGGTGTCCTGCAGGTAAAATCGTGAAATCCCATTTTAAAGTGTTGCTGTTTCGGATAAATTAAGAAACGTATCAAGGTCCAAAACGTAATATGAACTTGTCTGTGTTTTAGGTGTATGACCTGGGTGCCGATGGACAGGGCATGAGTCGTGTGGCAACCATGTCTCAGAACACAATTGTTGCTGTTGCTGGAAACATTGCCAGGTTTGTCCGGGTTTGTCGATCCTTAAACGTGTTTGTTTCACATCTGTCATCTGGATAATATATCATTTTTTCTGTCTCTTTAACTCTCCTTCTTTTGCAGGACAATAGATCGTTCAGTCTTCAAACCTATCGTCCAGATCTCTGTGATTGACAGATCTGAGTCGTCAGACTGTCACCTGCTTGCTGTCACTCATGCAGGTAAAGACATCAGAGCAGTAACGAAAAGTAGCAAAACCAGTAGGACACGTGTTGAATAATATGAAATGTTTACACTTTGTGTGCTCCACATCCCTTTCTCTAGGTGTGCGTCTCTACTTCAGCACTACACCTTTCTCCCTCCCACACCAGAGGCACCTGGCAGTGCGACCTAGCCTGCTGGCTTTGGTCCACGTCCGCCTGCCGCCCGGGTTTTCTGCATCCTCTACCCTCCAAAAACCTGCAAAGGTCCATAAGGCACTACACAGCAAAGGTAACAACTCTTATGTCTGCTATTCAGTTCCCCACAAAGACCAACTCACT